ATCCAGGATAGATTAAGAAAGTTATTAAAATTTTAAAAACTTTAACCACAGAGTGAATGTAATGTTAACTGGCAGAAAAACTAAGTCTATTTATAAGTGAAATACGGATAAACAGGATTTTTTTTTTTTGCCAAATTTACTTCTGGATACTGTCTTATGAATGATCATAAACAAGCTTCTGTCCAAGTTTGGTAGAAATCCAGGATAGTTTAAGAAAGTTATTAAAATTTCAAAAACTTTAACCACAGAGTGAATATTTGTGGATGCCCCCACTGACGACGACGACGGAATGTAGGATCGCTATGTCTCGCTTTTGCGACTTTTTTTGCGACAAAAGTCGCTGGCTCGACAAAACTCATTCTAAACTTCTTTGAAGTATGGAACCTTGTGGTAAAATTTCATAGAAATCTATATTCTTATACACCAATTATTGTCCTGAAACATGAAAAATGCTTGTTTTTGGCCCCTTTTTGGTCCCTAATTCCTAAACAGCTACGACAATAACCTTTACAAAAATTTACAAAATTTATGAAAATTGTAAAAAATTTACTATAAAGGGCAATAACTCCTTAAGGGGTCAATTGACAATTTTGGTCAGTTTGACTTATTTGTAGATCTTACTTTGCTGTACATTATTGCTGTTCACAGTTTATCTCTATCTATTATAATATTCAAGATAATAACCAAAAGCTGCAAAATTTTCTTAAAATTACCAATACAGGGGCAGCAACCCAACAACCTGTTGCCTGATTGGTCTGAAAATTTCAGGGCAGATAGATCTTGACCTAATGAACAATTTTATTCTGTAAGATTTGCTCTTAATGCTTTGGTTTCAGAGATATGAGCCAAAAACTGCATTTTACCCTATGTTCTATTTTTTAGCCATGTCGGCCATCTTGGTTCGCGGGCGGGGTCATCAGACACATTTTTTAAACTAGATACCCTAATGATGATTGTGGACAAGTTTGGTTAAATTTGTCTCAGTAGATTCAGAGGAGAAGATTTTTGTAAAAGATTACAAAAATTTACGAAAAATGGTTAAAAATTGACTATAAAGGGCAATAACTTCTTAAGGGGTCAACTGACCATTTTGGTCAAGTTGACTTATTTGTAGATCTTACTTTGCTGAACATTATTGCTGTTTGCAGTTTATCTCTATCTATAATAATATTCAAGATAATAACCAATAAAATGCTTCGCTGGGCGCAGCTTGATATGACCGCAGAGGTCGAACCCTGAACAGCTGGGGCAAGTATGGACACAACATTCAAGCTTGATACAGCTCTGAATTTGGATTGTGATTAAATATTTGACACAGCATAGGTTTCTGACACAGAAAGAATGTGGTCTAAGAACTTCAATTTTTTTAATTTACCTATTATGGTCCAATGTCCAAAATCAAAATACATGGTTAGATTCAGCATATTCAATTTTTGTTGAAATCAAACAAAGTTTAATTTTGGACCCCAACTTGGACAAACTTGAAAACTGGTCCCATAATCAAAAATCTAAACACATGTTTAGATTCAGCATATCAAAGTACCCCAAGAATTCAATTTTTGTTAAAATCAAACTAAGTTTAATTTTGGACCCTTTGGACCTTAATGTAGACCAATTTAAAAAACGGGACCCAAAATTAAAAATCTAAAAACACGGTTAGATTTGGCATATCAAAGAACCCCAATAATTCAATTTTTGATGAAATCAAACAAAGTTTAAATTTGGACCCTTTTGACCTCAATATGAACCAATTTGATAGCGGGCCCACAAATAAAAAATCTAAATACATGGTAAGATTCAGCATATCAAAGAACTCCATATATTCAATTTTTGTTGAAATCAAACAAAGTTTAATTTTGGACCCCAATTTGGACCAACTTGAAAACTGGGCCAAAAATCTAAAATCTAAATACATGTTTAGATTCAGCATATCAAAGAACCCCATATATTCAATTTTTGTTGAAATCAAACAAAGTTTAATTTTGGACCCCAACTTGGACCAACTTGAAAACTGGGCCCATAATCAAAAATCTAAACACATGTTTAGATTCAGCATATCAAAGAACCCCAAAAATTCAATTTTTGTTAAAATCAAACTAAGTTTAATTATGGACCCTTTGGACCTTAATGTAGACCAATTTAAAAAACGGGACCCAAAATTAAAAATCTAAATACACGGTTAGATTTGGCATATCAAAGAACCCCAATAATTCAATTTTTGATGAAATCAAACAAAGTTTAATTTTGGACCCTTTTGACCTAAATATGAACCAATTTGATAGCGGGCCCACAAATAAAAAATCTAAATACATGGTAAGATTCAGCATATCAAAGAACCCCATATATTCAATTTTTGTTGAAATCAAACAAAGTTTAATTTTGGACCCCAGTTTGGACCAACTTGAAAACTGGGCCAAAAATCTAAAATCTAAATACATGTTTAGATTCAGCATACCAAAGAACCCCATATATTCAATTTTTGTTGAAATCAAACAAAGTTTAATTTTGGACCCCAACTTGCACCAACTTGAAAACTGGGCCCATAATCAAAAATCTAAACACATGTTTAGATTCAGCATATCAAAGAACCCCAAGAATTCAATTTTTCTTAAAATCAAACTAAGTTTAATTTTGGACCCTTTGGACCTTAATGTAGACCAATTTAAAAAACGGGACCCAAAATTTAAAATCTAAATACACGGTTAGATTTGGCATATCAAAGAACCCCAATAATTCAATTTTTGATGAAATCAAACAAAGTTTAATTTTGGACCCTTTTGACCTCAATGTGGACCAATTTGATAACGGGGCCCAAAAATCTAAATACATGGTTAGATTCAGCATATCAAAGAACCCCATATATTCAATTTTTGTTGAAATCAAACAAAGTTTAATTTTGGACCCCAATTTGGACCAACTTGAAAACTGGGCCCGAAATAAAAAATCTAAACACATGTTTAGACTCAGCATATCAAAGAATCCCAAGAATTCAATTTTTGTTAAAATCAAACTAAGTTTAATTTTGGACCCTTTGGACCTTAATGTAGACCTCAATATGAACCAATTTGATAGTGGGGTCCGCAAATAAAAAATCTAAATACATGGTTAGATTCAGCATATCAAAGAACCCCATATATTCAATTTTTGTTGAAATCAAACAAAGTTTAATTTTGGACCCTTTGGACTTAATGTAGACCAATTTGAAAACTGGATCCAAAATTAAAAATCTAAATACACGGTTAGATTCGGCATAACAAATAAATAAATGTGGTCAAAGATTTTACAAATCTAATGCGCCATACTGTGCAATTAAAGATTACTTCTTGAAATTTTTCAATATTTGAAATTTGAAAAAAAAATAATATTTGAAGAATAATTCTTTTTAATTTCTGAAATCTGAAATGAGAAAAAATTGACCCCCCACAATTTCTTTTTACCCCCCCCCTTTTTTCCCCCAAACCATAATTACCCATTTAAATTTACCATAGTGCTAACTTAATCTATTTTATAATAGAATTTAAAATATAGTGTCAAATCTTTCATATGGATTTTTTTGTAAAAAAAAAAGATGCAACATTTGCAGATATTTTTACTGGTCTTCCTTTATAAATATGCATTTCTTTAAACATAATTTAAAAGCAGTGTAAGGGAAGTAACCAAAACGTTGTATTTGGATTACCTCCCTTACACTGTTTTAAATTATCTTAATTGTTCATTAACCATTACTTTATACATAATTTAAAAGCAGTGTAAGGGAGATAATTTCAATGATGTATTTGATTTATCTCCCTTACACTGCTTTAAATTATGTTTTGTACTAAAGTATTTGTCCATTAACCAGGACAACCTTGTTTTTCCCCCTTTTTTGCCCCTAATTCTTAAACGGTTTGAGCCATAACCCCCCAAAGCAAATCCTAACCATCCCTTTGTGGTATGGAAACTTGTAGTATAATTTCAGAGAGATCCATACACCGTTCCACAGTTATTGTCTGGAAACTAGAAAATGCTTATTTTTGGCCCCTTTTTGGCCCCTAATTCCTTAACTGTTGGTACCATAACCCCCAAAATCAATCCCCACCTTCCTTTTGTTGTATTGAACGTTATGGTAAAATTTCATAGAGATTCATTCACTTAAACTAAAGTTAGAGTGCGAAAACTAATGCGTCCTCGGATGACGACGCCGGACGACGACGACGACGACGCCAACGTCATACCAATATACGACCACAAAATTTTTTTTGCGGTCGTATAAAAACGGCAAAATTTCCTTAAAATTACCAATTCAGGGGCAGCAACCCAACAACGGGATGTCAGATTCATCTGAAAATTTCAGGGCAGATAGATCTTGACCTGATAAACAATTTTACCCCATGTCAGATTTGCTCTAAATGCTTTGGTTTCAGAGATATAAGCCAAAATCTACATTTTACCCCTATGTTCTATTTATAGCCATGTCGGCCATCTTGGTTGGTTGACTGGGTCATCGGACACATTTTTTAAACTAGATACCCTAATGATGATTGTGGCCAAGTTTGGTTAAATTTGGCCTAGTAGTTTCAGGAGAAGATTTTTGTAAAAGTTAACGGACACCGACAACGGACGACGGACGCCAAGTGATGAGAAAAGCTCACTTGGCCCTTTGGGCCAGGTGAGCTAAATAGCTAGGACAATAGCCCCCCAAAACAATCCCAACCGTTCTTTAGTGGTATGGAATGTTGTGCTAAAATTTCATAGAGATCCATGAACTTATAATCAAGTTATTGTCTGCGAACCAAAATGTCTTCAGATGCAGACGCAGACAACACCATAACATAATACTACTGCAAATAAATTTGCGGTCGTACAAAAAAATCGCAATAATAAATGCACGCAATAATTTCGAATTTACGGTATGTAGTTGGCCACAAAAGATCCTGATATGAACTCTGCCAGACAGACATATACACCAAACACTTTTAAAATACCAAATATTTATTACAAAAATTATTAATGAAAATTACCTTCCATCCCTTGACCAGCAGTCACACCTGAAGATTCCTCTGACATGACAGACTGAAAAATAAGGAATATGCACTGTGAATATACCTTTACTCATATTTCTTGTAGAACTATTAAATTTCTAAAATATAAACCCCCCAAAAATAATATACAATAAAAATGTTACACATTATATAATATATTTATCGATAAAATTTTCATATTTTCCAAAAAATTGTGAGGCCCAGAGTAAAAGTGTACACTCAGGTTGTTTTTGAATTTACTTTGTGTTTATTTGCAAGAGCATTTTAAATGCACCTTTGAATCGAAAATTATTCCAACTGTAGAATATTCTAATATTCTGTGACCTTACACTTGTTACCATTTGTCTTGATTATGTCTCCGTCAATTTTTGGATAACCTCCATTTGAAGTATGTAATTTGTGGTAAATTAAGTATAGATATGTTCAACCGTAAAATAAAATTGTCCCTTAAGCTAAGATAGTATTTGGGGTATAACTAAACTATATAGGCTCGAAGGAGCCTGTATACGGCTTACCCAGCATTTTTGCCCCTCAAAATTTATACAATGCAACAAGAATATTTGTGTTTATTGGAAAATTTGTGCCAAAACCTGTCTTGCTGATCATTTTTGCTCAACCAGGTTTTGTAGTTTAAAGATAAAAAGCAGAAATGAAAATTAGACAAGAGCCTCAAACAAGAGTGTATCGCTTGAGAACCTTCGCATTTTGGCAAAAACTAAATTGGATTGATTGATTGATTGTTGGTGTTTAACACCACTTTCAGTACTATTGTCTATATCGTGGTGGTAAGGATTGATTGATTGTTGATGTTTAACACCACTTCCAGTACTATTGTCTATATCGTGGTGGTAAGGATTGATTGATTGTTGGTGCTTAACACCACTTTCAAATTCAGTACTATTGTCTATATCGTGGTGGTAAGGATTGATTGATTGTTGGTGTTTAACACCACTTTCAGTACTATTGTCTATATCGTGGTGGTAAGGATTGATTGTTGATGTTTAACACCACTTTCAGTTCTATTGTCTATATCGTGGTGGTAATGATGGATTGATTGTTGGTGTTTAACACTACTTTCAGTACTATTGTCTATATCTTGGTGGTAAGGATTGATTGATTGATTGTTGGTGTTTAACACCACTTTCAGTACTATTGTCTATATCATGGTGGTAATGATGGATAGATTGTTGATGTTTAACACTACTTTCAGAACTATTGTCTATATCGTAATGGTGAGGATTGATTGATTGTTGGTGCTTAACACCACTTTCAGTACTATTGTCTATATCGTGGTGGTAAGGATTGATAGATTGTTGATGTTTAACACTACTTTCAGAACTATTGTCTATATCGTGGTGGTGTGGATTGATTGATTGTTGGTGCTTAACACCACTTTCAGTACTATTATCTATATCGTGGTGGTAAGGATTGATAGATTGTTGATGTTTAACACCACTTTCAGTACTATTATCTATATCGTGGTGGTGAGGATTGATTGATTGTTGGTGTTTAACACCACTTCCAGTACTATTGTCTATATCGTGGTGGTAAGGATTGATTGATTGTTGGTGCTTAACACCACTTTCAAATTCAGTACTATTGTCTATATCGTGGTGGTAAGGATTGATTGATTGTTGGTGTTTAACACCACTTTCAGTACTATTGTCTATATCGTGGTGGTAAGGATTGATTGTTGATGTTTAACACCACTTTCAGTTCTATTGTCTATATCGTGGTATTAAGGATTGATTGATTGTTGGTGTTTAACACCACTTTCAGTTCTATTGTCTATATCGTGGTGGTAAGGATTGATTGTTGATGTTTAACACCACTTTCAGTACTATTATCTATATCGTGGTGGTGAGGATTGATTAATTGTTGGTGTTTAACACCACTTTCAGTACTATTGTCTATATCGTGGTGGTAAGGATTGATTGATTGTTGATGTTTAACACCACTTTCAGTACTATTGTCTATATCTTGGTGGTAAGGATTGATTGTTGGTGTTTAACACAACTTTCAGTACTATTGTCTATTTAGAGGTGGTAAGGATTGATTGATTGTTGGTGTTTAACACCACTTTCAGTACTATTGTCTATATCGTGGTGGTAAGGATTGATTGTTGGTGTTTAACACCACTTTCAGTACTATTGTCTATATCTTGGTGGTAAGGATTGATTGATTGTTGGTGTTTAACACCACTTTCAGTACTATTGTCTATATCGAGGTGGTAAGGATTGATTGATTGTTGGTGTTTAACACCACTTTCAGTACTATTGTCTATATCGAGGTGGTAAGGATTGATTGTTGGTGTTTAACACCACTTTCAGTACTATTGTCTATTTAGAGGTGGTAAGGATTGATTGATTGTTGGTGTTTAACACCACTTTCAGTACTATTGTCTATATCGTGGTGGTAAGGATTGATTGTTGGTGTTTAACACCACTTTCAGTACTATTGTCTATATCTTGGTGGTAAGGATTGATTGATTGTTGGTGTTTAACACCACTTTCAGTACTATTGTCTATATCGAGGTGGTAAGGATTGATTGATTGTTGGTGTTTAACACCACTTTCAGTACTATTGTCTATATCGAGGTGGTAAGGATTGATTGTTGGTGTTTAACACCACTTTCAGTACTATTGTCTATTTAGAGGTGGTAAGGATTGATTGATTGTTGGTGTTTAACACCACTTTCAGTACTATTGTCTATATCGTGGTGGTAAGGATTGATTGTTGGTGTTTAACACCACTTTCAGTACTATTGTCTATATCTTGGTGGTAAGGATTGATTGATTGTTGGTGTTTAACACCACTTTCAGTACTATTGTCTATATCGAGGTGTTAAGGATTGATTGATTGTTGGTGTTTAACACCACTTTCAGTACTATTGTCTATTTAGAGGTGGTAAGGATTGATTGATTGTTGGTGTTTAACAACACTTTCAGTACTATTGTCTATATCGTGGTGGTAAGGATTGATTGATTGATTGTTGGTGTTTAACACCACTTTCAGTTCTATTGTCTATATTGTGGTGGTAAGGATGGATTGATTGTTGATGTTTAACACCACTTTCAGTACTATTGTCTATATCGTGGTGGTAAGGATTGATTGATTGTTGGTGTTTAACACCACTTTCAGTACTATTGTCTACATCGAGGTGGTAAGAATTGATTGTTGATGTTTAACACCACTTTCAGTACTATTGTCTATATCGTGGTGGTAAGGATTGATGGATTGATTGTTGGTGTTTAACACCACTTTCAGTACTATTGTCTATATCATGGCGGTAAGGATTGATTGATTGTTGGTGTTTAACACCACTTTCAGTACTATTGTCTATATCGATGTGGTAAGGATTGATTGATTGTTGGTGTTTAACACCACTTTCAGTACTATTGTCTATATCGAGGTGGTAAGGATTTGTTGATTGTTGATGTTAAACACCACTTTCAGTTCTATTGTCTATATCTTGGTGGTAAGGGTTGATTGATTGTTGATGTTTAACACCACTTTCAGTACTATTGTCTATATCGTGGTGGTAAGGATTGATTGTTGGTGTTTAACACCACTTTCAGTACTATTGTCTATATCTTGGTGGTAAGGATGGATTGATTGTTGGTGTTTAACACCACTTTCAGTACTATTGTCCATATCATGGTGGTAAGGATTGATTGATCGTTGGTGTTTAACACCACTTTCAGTACTATTGTCTATATCGTGGTGGTAAGGATTGATTGTTGGTGTTTAACACCACTTTCAGTACTATTGTCTATATCTTGGTGGTAAGGATTGATTGATTGTTGGTGTTTAACACCACTTTCAGTACTATTGTCTACATCGTGGTGGTAAGGATTGATTGTTGATGTTTAACACCACTTTCAGTACTATTGTCTATATCGTGGTGGTAAGGAGAGATTGATTGTTGATGTTTAACACCACTTTCAGTACTATTGTCTATATCGTGGTGGTAAGGATTGATTGTTGGTGTTTAACACCACTTTCAGTACTATTGTCTATATCGTGGTGGTAAGGATTGATTGATTGTTGGTGTTTAACACCACTTTCAGTACTATTGTCTATATCTTGGTGGTAAGGATTGATTGATTGTTGATGTTTAGCACCACTTTCAGTACTATTGTCTATATCATGGTGGTAAGGATTGATTGATTGTTGATGTTTAACACCACTTTCAGTACTATTGTCTATATCGAGGTGGTAAGGATTGATTGTTGGTGTTTAACACCACTTTCAGTACTATTGTCTATTTAGAGGTGGTAAGGATTGATTGATTGTTGGTGTTTAACACCACTTTCAGTACTATTGTCTATATCGTGGTGGTAAGGATTGATTGATTGATTGTTGGTGTTTAACACCACTTTCAGTTCTATTGTCTATATTGTGGTGGTAAGGATGGATTGATTGTTGATGTTTAACACCACTTTCAGTACTATTGTCTATATCGTGGTGGTAAGGATTGATTGAGTGTTGGTGTTTAACACCACTTTCAGTACTATTATCTATATCGAGGTGGTAAGAATTGATTGTTGATGTTTAACACCACTTTCAGTACTATTGTCTATATCGTGGTGGTAAGGATTGATGGATTGATTGTTGGTGTTTAACACCACTTTCAGTACTATTGTCTATATCATGGTGGTAAGGATTGATTGATTGTTGGTGTTTAACACCACTTTCAGTACTATTGTCTATATCGATGTGGTAAGGATTGATTGATTGTTGGTGTTTAACACCACTTTCAGTACTATTGTCTATATCGAGGTGGTAAGGATTTGTTGATTGTTGATGTTAAACACCACTTTCAGTTCTATTGTCTATATCTTGGTGGTAAGGGTTGATTGATTGTTGATGTTTAACACCACTTTCAGTACTATTGTCTATATCGTGGTGGTAAGGATTGATTGTTGGTGTTTAACACCACTTTCAGTACTATTGTCTATATCGTGGTGGTAAGGATTGATTGATTGTTGGTGTTTAACACCACTTTCAGTACTATTGTCTATATCTTGG